AAGCAGATAACGTCGTGATCCTGTTAAGGAGCTTCTGAACTTCATCGATTTCAAATTTGATACCTTCAAACTTGTCACGCTGATGGTTGATGTTCCAGCTCATCAGCCTAAGGCAATTGCGTGTGTCCCGGTTTTTACTCATCTTTGAAACGGTTCGAGCTGCGTTTTTGACGAGGATTTCCATCGTGGCTCTGGTGAGGAATGCGCATCGTCTTCTTAAGTCCTTCACGAAGGCTGACGTAAAGCATTTTTTCACCTCTGTCTTTTAGGGTAAATCCAGTGTTGATAGAATAACTGTTCTGGTTGCCAACCCGGTCGTTAGCAAACGTGAATATGCGTGTACGAGCGGTTTCGCTATGTCTGTGGAACCAGCTAACATTGCTTTTCGTTGTTAACAGCTTTGATTCGCTCGTTAATTTTCTTGTCATTAGAGGTTGGAATGAAAAGGGAGAAACATATCTGAGCTTTGCAGGTCTCCAGGAGATACTCTGCGAGTTCGTGGATAGCTCCAGATGGGATACATTTCCTCTTCGTAAGGTCGTTGATACCCAGGTGAACGTAAATGCAGTCTGGTCGTAGCTTATTCAACTTCTGGTTGAGCTGTTTTCGTTTCTTTGCTAGGTTTTCGAGACTTGATGCCCCGAATTGGTGCACATTGAATTGAGAACTGAAACTACGTGGATTGAACATGTCAAAGTTACTATCGTGTATGAGAAGTACCGTGTGCCTACGATAGATATGAGAGTTCCTGGTTCCAGTTCCTGTGCCTGGTCCGACTTCCCGAGATTGTGAAGTTGAGGATGGTACATGATCTTCACGCCGATGATGCATGCGGCTATCATTTAGAGAATTGTCTAGGCGCTCTTCTTGAGCTTGTTCGTTCAGGACAGTTGTCATGCGGCTACCATTTTGAGACCCGTCTTGTCTCAACTATATATAAATGTAGTTACAAATTTATAATCTACTAAGACTTGCGCCGATTTTAATTTATTGATCCACTGTCGTAAACAATTTCAATGTTTAAAACAAATATTACTAGGCAGCATTCGTCGTTCATGATCATATTGACCATTGTTAATGATCTGGCCCGGCGCGCGCTACTTCGTAGCACTTGCCGTCGGGCCATAACATTTCGAGAAGAAAGCGGCGCGCGCTACTTCGAAGAAATTTAGACAGTAACATCCGTCAAATGATCATATAGCTTAGCCATATGTATACGCGTACTGTGTATATGCGTACTGCGTGACGTGCTTGTTTCGCGCGCTACTGCAAGCGAAAGGGTTCTGTTTAGAGCAATATTCGTCGCTCAACTTGCTTATTGCTTTATTTTCAGAGAACTTCGCTGGTAGTAGGTAGTGCGCCATCGACAGTGAGCCGCGCGTGCCGACTGTAGGATGGTTTTTTAGCGCTAATTTCGGCCAGCACAATTTTCTTCAAACAAATTGACGGATGTTACTCGTCTAAATTTCTTCGAAGTAGCTTAACGGGTAATACTCGTAAAATATCTGTTTGACCGTCGACGAGTCCAACTCGGCGCGCGCATCCTGGTAGGTTATTAACCTACAACGAAGTAGCGCGCATCGCTTTCTTCTCGAAATATTGTCCCGATTGCACGTGCTACGAAGGCCAGACCATTAACAATGGTCAACAAACAAATAAATATTAAGTACCCTTCCCGACCTCCGATTGCAACAAAAATTGGTAAGCTTACTCATAGACTTACAAGGAAAGTGTCCGAAAAATTTAAAGCATATCCAACCATCAAACATTATGTTACAGCTAAAAGCAGCGTATTTGCCCCATTTTGATCATTATGTATATCAATTATCAACTCCAATATCCACCAAATTTTTCGGACAGTTGTGAAAGCCCTATCGGAAGGTCGTCGCCAATTTTCAAAATGATCTCATTCAAGGAACCGAAGATATATCCGAATAATACGACAAAAATCAACAAATTTGGTCAAATTATGCGACTTTTACAGCGAATTTTTCTCCAAATGCAAAAGCTGTGCATCAAATATGGCACCTAGGCGAAACTCACTGATCTTTCCAAAACACAGGAGGAGCAAAGTTCCAATTCGCTCATCCTGACTACAAGGACACACTGATAATGAGTAGTCTTGGCACTTCTCCCTCCAGTAACCGCTTTTCAGGTCTTTTCAGTTAAGACAGCTAATGTATAAGGGCTGACACACGCTAGACACAGGCTCGTGATAAGACAGAGTTAGGGATTTCAACTCTATAGCTCTGACTACGAGGACACACTGATAGGGACAATTCCGGGCACTTCTTCCTCCAGTAACCACTTTTCAGGTCTTCTCAGCTAGACAGCTAAAGGCTCATCTTGGGGCCATCACATTTAACCTAGGGGACCGGGTTAGCTTTGCCACACTATTCATTGGAGTGTGACTGGACGCTTTACATTCATCTAGTAGCAGCAGAGTTTGACTAACACCCTTACTGGTTCTAATCAGTTTCTACAGCGGAAGATCTCAACGCTCGAAACAGTTCATCTCGGACATCCTGCAGAGATGCTTTATCACAGCCTGTCCCATTGCGCAGGGAACCCTTAGATCTACAGTACCCTGGTGGACAGCACAGCTCACTAAAGCATAGCGGACCTTTTTAGTTCTGAGACGCAAAGCTAACCGGACCAGGAATAAACATCAATGCAATGCTTCGGGGATGCAAATAGGACATACAACTTTAGGATTTGGTTTTGGATCGGACACTCAAAACAACGATAGAGGAGCGGTCTACACGCTCACAGGCTACCATGTCTCGTGTAACCCCAGGATTAAGCACCCTCACAGACTACCACGTCTCGTGTAACCCTAGGACTCTAACACTTAACAGACTCTAACACGCTCACAGGCTTCCACGTCTCGTGTACCCTAGGATTTGGTTTTTGGATCGGACACTCAAAACAACGACAGAAGAGTGGTCTACAGTGACGTTACAGGAACATTGCATACTCCTACGAGTTGCATGTAGCAGGCCATGACCGTCCCTGGAAGTCCCCATGTCTCCTCATCGTTAACCCGTAAGGGGTTGCACCAGGGGCGGTGGTAACAGAACTTCAAGACTCTCGGAGTCTGTTGTCGATATCTATGTATAATATATTTATGGTATATAACTTGGGAGTCTCTCTCTCTCTCTAGCAGCAGGAGTTGGAGAACGGGGACGCGTTGTGAAAGCCACCGCAAGGAAGGCTTGCAGTCGACGCCGACCAATTAAAAGAAAGAACTTAGATGTTCCAGGACATGAAGGAGTATACGGTAACGAACTAGCGGACGAATTCGTAAGAGACGATCATTTCAACAACATCCCCATGCATAGGACCAGAACCCTTCCTCCCAATTAGGCCACACTCAGTGAGAAAGGAAAAATGTACCTCCACAAAATATATAAATCCAGGAACTTTAATTTTTCTGGAACTCACATCAGATGGCTAACATGGCCGCTGTCAGTATAGATCACAGCCCACTAGTTTACTTTCAGAACGTGGCGAACAACGTCAACTTCGAGACGCAAGATTGTGAACACTTTTCAGGAGAAGCAGGAACTTCCCAGCACCTCTCTGCAAGTGCATCCAGATCATGACGCTCAGAATGAGGATAATTGGTCAACCCCTATGGAGGATCTTAACAACAGTAAACTCAACCATATCTTCAAATTTGTGGAACAGTCGACAAGGCTTGATAGGGAAAGCCCTTTTGGGTAACTTCCTTGGATTTTTCACCAAGAACTTTCGCTAAATCCCACACTAGGAACTCAACCTAGGCTTGTCATATGTTGTATGACCCGCGGCTCCCCCTGTATCGTCACTATAGTGAAACGACCGTGGGGGTCGCAACGTGATACAAACCTAGGCCTATCTCTGCATAGAGACATATCTCCCAGGCTTTGACCTAGCTCGGAAGTCCCTTGTCTGTCCGCAGAAGTACTACAACGGAAGGGGGTTTGCTCTGAGCCAGGTAGCGACAGCTTCAAGACTCCAGGGGTCTGTCGCATTGATATTTATTGTTTTATGATTTCGTATATACCTTGGGAGTCCTGGCGTGCAGCTAGCAGGAGTTGCATTTTGTGGGCACGGCGAGAATACGAGAGAGAGAGAGAGATAGAGAGAGAGAGAGAGAGAGAGAGAGAGAGAGAGAGAGAGAGAGAGAGAGATAGATAGATAGAGAGAGAGAGAGAGAGAGAGAGAGAGAGAGAGAGAGAGAGAGAGAGAGAGAGAGAGAGAGAGAGAGAGAGAGAGAGAGAGAGAGAGAGAGAGAGAGAGAGAGAGAGAGAGAGAGAGAGAGAGAGAGAGAGCTGATCACTGCTGCTAACTGCTGCTATGGACTCGCGCGCGACAGCAGCAGTTAGCAGTAGTGAGCAGCAGTGAGCAGCAGTGAGCAGCAGTGAGCAGCAGTTAGCAGCAGTTTCTTTGCACTATAGTCCCCTGTGTAAGACGCGCGCTGACCATTGAGTGGTTTTTAGCTCGTATTTTGGCCAGCACAATATTTCGAAAACAATCAAAAAGTTATAATACTTCCCATGTAATAATTTTGTTGAAATTTGGTCAGCATACGTAAACACTTATGTTTTACTAAACTTAAATTAGTTTGAGCAATTTCGATGGTCAGAATTTGAGTTATCAACGAATTTACACCTATTTTGTCATTTTTAGACCTCTTAATTCTCTTAATCAATGCCGATCTCTCCCAACTAATTTAGGTTCAGTAGTTTAGTATGGTTAAAAGCATGATTCATGTTCAGGAACCGAAGATATGACCGGATAATACGACAAAAATCAACGAATTTCGTCAAATTAAGCAACTTTTACAATTAATTTTATTTTGCTCCAAAAGCCGCGCACCATCAAATATGGCACTTAGGCGAAATTCGCTGATATAATCAGTTTTAGGAATTGTATTTGTTTAGTACTTCGAATCGAGAAGGTATTATAATTGGATTTAGTTTTAGGGGACTGCAAGTGATACAAGTTTAATATAATAACTATTAACTATAAATAAAGGGCTTTTACTAATTCGCTCGCCCAAAAATTATCACGTGTTTTTGGTTTTTACGGTTTTTCAGCCGAACAAAGCGGTTTTACATAAACCCTGATCCGGATCCCAACTCTGATCTAACCCTAACCATATATACATATAATAACCCCAAAGCTATACACAACCCTAACCGGAGCCCTAAACAATCGAATTCGTGTTTAACTAGCCTGTCACGTGACCAAAACAGTTTTTTGCCCATAACTCTCAGGGCCGGGAAGCATTTTAATTTTAAATCATTGGGGTGGTTCGGCGTCCAAAAATACACTGACCAAAAGTACTTTCATATCCTCAAGGCCTTTTTACAAGAATTTTCTTAATAAAGTTTGGGCAAACGATTTAAGGCCAGGGGAGCGTAACTAAAGTGAGTTCGATCAAGACAAGATTATGTTCCGTGCACTCAAACAATATCAGCTCGATCAAATTTGAAATTTGTTATTTTTCCCGTAACGGGCTTTCATGCTTTGATAAAATTCATAAATCTAAATTACTGCACGAGAAAGTTTGATTAAAATTCCTGCAGGATGAATCGATCTACAGTTCACAATACTATTATCATGATCAATTATCAAAAGAGTCCGACTGATTCGAAATACCGGTCAATACCATTCAAAGTTAATCAGCCGTGATGCATAAAATATCAATAATTTAACTTTATTCTAGAGGGACTTTTCCGTGAACATAAAGGTGCTAACTCCGTGGGAGGTTCCTTACTGATTAAATTTAAAGAGCTAGGTTCTCGGTCTTACCGCTAATTAACGACCATATTAAATGTTAGTCATTTGGACTTTTGGAAAATATTGGAATCAGAACGGATAATAAAATCAAGATCATAAAGTCAGGAATCATAAAATTCCGGATATAAAATACCCGGATCATAAAATCAGGAAGGTAAAGTGTAAAGGCCCCGACTTTATGATTATATTAATGCAGATAGTGGTTCTAATGTGTTAGTGGTTCTAAGGTGTGAGGATTCATAATGATTAATGCAAATAGTGGTTCTTATGTAACTGACAGACAGGTACAGAAGCCTACAATCTACATCGACAATTTTAACATTGAAACATTTAAACAGAAATATTTAAAGAAAAGTCAAAGTGTAACTCAATCGTCCATAGCTAATAAGATGTGACCACCGCTGAGATCAGAGTAGTACCACATGCAAGATCAAGCTCGCGAACATTGACAACTTCTAATTGGACACTCTGCATGTACTGTCCCTAACTAGTATGCAAAATGGAAATTTAAAAGTCTATGCTGTTATCAGAACTTTTCGTGAATCGTGCGGTTCGTCCTGAAATAAATTAGATTTTTAGATAAAATAGCTATCCGATCCGATGTTATGTTTGAACTATTGGGATAAAACATAAAAGCCTTTACAAAGCTGAGTCATTAATATGATTGGAATTTAACCAAATTTTCTAATTAATTAACAAAAAATAATGGTCATAATTAAATAAAAATTACCATAACTAGAAGAGCATAATGTAGCAGACGAAGATTGCAGCTAGGTATTGATAAGCAGATCTAGATCGCAAACTGGCAGTGTTTCCTGAAATGTTGATATGAAGATTATATTGGATCGATTTGGAAAGGATGCAATTATACAAAACATACCAAATACCTTACACAGGACTTTATTTGAACGAACACCATTTGGGAGCGCTACTTTTTAATTTTGCCTTCTGTTAATTTCTGTCGTCGGATTATAAACTATATCATCATTTTATTGCTTAACGACTGCTTTTCTTGCTTATTAGTATTACAGTTACAATTACTGTACTAAAAAAATCTATCAAAAATTATTTACTAAATTGTAAATAAAATTGGAAAAAAACGCCCAAAAATATTTTCTGATTTTTAATGGTTTTGAATGCCTTCGAACGTTAGTTGTAATGTCCATTTAAAATTATATCCGCTCTCGCAGTATCCAGTAATTGTCCGATCAGGTATATCAAAGCGCTCCTACTTCACACTAATAAATACTATACACTAAATCACTAAGGTATTAGGTTAGGGTTGGGATCAGATTAGAGGGTTAGGGTTTCGAATAGGCATTCAATTTAGAGCCACCTAGAGGACGTGTTAAAAAATTTACGTGACAGTCGAGTGTATAGTGATTAATCGTCATTCTTTTGGTGAGGCATATAGGGACGAATAGTTAATATATACATTATACTGGCTACATATCAGTATTTCTTATCTTCGGATTCCGTACTTGAGAATGCCCACTTTTTTACTCCGTCGTCACCGGCAAAGTTAATCCAGTCTTTTTTTCTTTCCCACATTTCTCTCCAATACGACTTTCCTGTGCAGACTGCGTTGGAAGGTTCGAAAGTGATCAGTAACTCATCGTTGCAAGTGATATTCAAACCCATATATCCGTGCGTTTCTACTTTGAAGATCCTAAAACCATCATCATCTTTAACGGGCAAATCAACAGGAAGGTCTAAATTTGCTTCGTCGGAGTCGTATTTTGTCATACAACTAAGGAAATTATATTTTGGTGGATCTGAGAACAGTAATTTGAAACCCCCTGCATTCATGTACTCTGCATTGTCCCTATAGTTGATTCTCAAAACTTTGCGACTTCCAATCGTCAGATCAGTCTTCATATAAACATCCGCTTGATTGGGAATTTCAATCCATTGTTCGAAATACCTGTCCCTCCATTGATCTGAAACTGTGGTGTTTAAAAGACATATGACAATTATAAATGGTACTTCTAAGTTCTCAGTCGAGTAGAAAAAAAAATAAAATCGAGCTTATATTACCTGGAAAACTATCATCTTCCCCATCGTCCACAGCATCAATTACGTCTGGAAGAAGACCACCATCGGAATTACCGTTGCCTGAAATGAATTAGGAATTGGTCACTTTGTCAAACAAAACAAAGTTAATAAACTAAATTAAAGCAATTTTGTGAACAGGTTCACAATGACGTGGTTCAAGGTGATGTTAAGTATAACTGACTGAACTAAAGTTAATTCAATCTGACATCAAATTTTAAATGCAGTTGCAGTTAGGTATTGATAAGCAGGTCTAGATCGCAAACTGGTAGCGTTTCCTGAAAATTTGGTAAATATCAGTATTTCTTACCTTCGGATTCCGAACTTGAGAATTTGTACTTTGTTACTCCGTCGTCAAAGCTAAAGTTTATCACCTCTTTGTTGTTTTCCCACGTATCTCTCCAAAACGCGTGCCATCCCGTGCACACTGCGTTGGAAGGTTCGAAAGTGATCAGTAACTCATCGTTACAACTGATCTTCAAACCATTTGTTTCGTGCGTTTCTAATTTGAAGATCCTAAAGCCACCATCATCTTCAGCGGGCAAATCAACAGGAAGGTCTAAATTTGCTTCGGTTAATTCTGTACAATAGAGGAAACCATATTTTGGTGGATCTGAGAACAGTAATTTGAAAGCCCCTGCCTTTTCGCCGGCACTGTTTTCATAGTTGATTCTCAAAACTTTGCGACTTCCAATCGTCAGATCAGTCTTCATATAAACATCCGCTCGATTGGGAATTTCAATATCTCCCATGAACGGTTTTTCCTTCCATTGATCTGAAACTGTGATGTTTAAAAGACATATGACAGTTAAAAATTGTACTTCTCAGCCGAGTAGAAAATATTGCAGAATCTAGCTTATAAGCTAGATAAATATTACCTGTAATACTATTATCATCCACATCGCCCATATCATCAATCGCATCGTTCACAACATCAACTGCATCGTCCACAACATCAACTGCATCGTCCACGGCATCAACCGCATCGTCCACAGCATCGTCTGCAGCATCGTCTGCTGCATCAACCAAATCTGGAAGAAAACCACCATTGGAATTATCATTGCCGGAAATGAATTAGGAATTGGTTCAAGGTGATGTTAAGTATAACTGACTGAACTAAAGTTAATTCAATCTGACATCAAATTTTAAATGTAGTTGCAGTTAGGTATTGATAAGCAGGTCTAGATCGCAAACTGGTAGCGTTTCCTGAAAAGTTAGTAAATATCAGTATTTCTTACCTTCGGATTCCGAACTTGAGAATTTGTACTTTGTTACTCCGTCGTCAAAGCTAAAGTTTATCACCTCTTTGTTGTTTTCCCACGTATCTCTCCAAAACGCGTGCCATCCCGTGCACACTGCGTTGGAAGGTTCGAAAGTGATCAGTAACTCATCGTTACAACTGATCTTCAAACCATTTGTTTCGTGCGTTTCTAATTTGAAGATCCTAAAGCCATCATCATCTTCAGCGGGCAAATCAACAGGAAGGTCTAAATTTGCTTCGGTTAATTCTGTACAATAGAGGAAACCATATTTTGGTGGATCTGAGAACAGTAATTTGAAACCCCCTGCCTTTTCGCCGGCACTGTTTTCATAGTTGATTCTCAAAACTTTGCGACTTCCAATCGTCAGATCAGTCTTCATATAAACATCCGCTTGATTGGGAATTTCAATATCTCCCATGAACGGTTTTTCCTTCCATTGATCTGAAACTGTGATGTTTAAAAGACATATGACAGTTAAAAATTGTACTTCTCAGCCGAGTAGAAAATATTGCAGAATCTAGCTTATAAGCTAGATAAATATTACCTGTAATACTATTATCATCCACATCGCCCATATCATCAATCGCATCGTTCACAACATCAACTGCATCGTCCACAACATCAACTGCATCGTCCACGGCATCAACCGCATCGTCCACAGCATCGTCTGCAGCATCGTCTGCTGCATCAACCAAATCTGGAAGAAAACCACCATTGGAATTATCATTGCCGGAAATGAATTAGGAATTGGTTCAAGGTGATGTTAAGTATAACTGACTGAACTAAAGTTAATTCAATCTGACATCAAATTTTAAATGTAGTTGCAGTTAGGTATTGATAAGCAGGTCTAGATCGCAAACTGGTAGCGTTTCCTGAAAAGTTAGTAAATATCAGTATTTCTTACCTTCGGATTCCGAACTTGAGAATTTGTACTTTGTTACTCCGTCGTCAAAGCTAAAGTTTATCACCTCTTTGTTGTTTTCCCACGTATCTCTCCAAAACGCGTGCCATCCCGTGCACACTGCGTTGGAAGGTTCGAAAGTGATCAGTAACTCATCGTTACAACTGATCTTCAAACCATTTGTTTCGTGCGTTTCTAATTTGAAGATCCTAAAGCCATCATCATCTTCAGCGGGCAAATCAACAGGAAGGTCTAAATTTGCTTCGGTTAATTCTGTACAATAGAGGAAACCATATTTTGGTGGATCTGAGAACAGTAATTTGAAACCCCCTGCCTTTTCGCCGGCACTGTTTTCATAGTTGATTCTCAAAACTTTGCGACTTCCAATCGTCAGATCAGTCTTCATATAAACATCCGCTTGATTGGGAATTTCAATATCTCCCATGAACGGTTTTTCCTTCCATTGATCTGAAACTGTGATGTTTAAAAGACATATGACAGTTAAAAATTGTACTTCTCAGCCGAGTAGAAAATATTGCAGAATCTAGCTTATAAGCTAGATAAATATTACCTGTAATACTATTATCATCCACATCGCCCATATCATCAATCGCATCGTTCACAACATCAACTGCATCGTCCACAACATCAACTGCATCGTCCACGGCATCAACCGCATCGTCCACAGCATCGTCTGCAGCATCGTCTGCTGCATCAACCAAATCTGGAAGAAAACCACCATTGAAATTACCATTTACCCCCTTTACTTTTATACCCCCTTTACTATTATACCCCCTTTACTATTATACCCCTCATTGCCGGAAATGAATTAGGAACTGGTTGATTTGTCAAACAAAACAAAGTTAATAAACTAAATTAAAGCAATTTTGTGTACAGGTTCACAATGACGTGGTTCAAGGTGATGTTAAGTATAACTGACTGAACTAAAGTTAATTCAATCTGACATCAAATTTTAAATGCAGTTGCAGTTAGGTATTGATAAGCAGGTCTAGATCGCAAACTGGTAGCGTTTCCTGAAAATTTGGTAAATATCAGTATTTCTTACCTTTGGATTCCGTACTTGAAAATTTGTACTTTGTTACTCCGTAGTCAGACTGAAAGTCTATCCTTTCTTTGTTGGATACCCATATCATTCTCCAAAAACTAAATCCTGTGCACATTGCGTCTGAAGGTTCGAAAGTGATCAGCAACTCATCGTTGCAACTGATCTTCAAACCCATTGCTCCGTGCGTTTCTACTTTGAAGATCCTAAAACCATCATCATCTTTAGCGGGCAAATCAACCCGAAGGCGTCGATTTGTTGTACAAGAGAGGAATTCATATTTTGGTGGATTTGAGAACTGTAATTTGAAACCCCCTGCATTTTTGCCGGCATTGTTGTTATAGTTTATTACCAAATTGATGCCACTTCCGATCGTCTTATCAGTCTTCAGATAAACAACTCCTTCGGGAATTTCAATATCCTCCGGCCAGAGCGGTTTGTCCTTCCATTGCTCTGAAAATGTGGTGTTTAAAAGACATATGACATTGACAGTTAAAAATTGTACTTCTCAGCCAAGTAGAAAATATTGCAGAATCTAGCTTATAAGCTAGATAAATATTACCTGCACTGGAGCCTGCGGATTCCAAACTTGAGATTTTGAACACGTTTACTCCTCTGTCAAAGTCAAAGTTTATCAGCTCTTTGTTTTTTTCCCACGTATTTACCCACAATGTCGACCATCCCGTGCACGCTGCGTCTGAAGGTTCGAAAGTGATCAGCAACTCATCGTTGCAACTGATCTTCAAACCCATTGCTCCGTGCGTTTCTACTTTGAAGATCCTATAGCCATAATCATCTTTAGCGGGCAAATCAGCAGGAAGGTCTTGACTTGGATTCAAAAAGTCCGTACATTTAAGGAAACCATACTTTGGTGGAGATGAGAATCTTAATACGAAAGATCCTGTCGTGTCACCGGCATTGTTTTTATAGTTGATTCTCAAATCTGTGCCACTTCCAATCGTCAGATCAGTCTTCATATAAACATTCTTTTGGTTGGGAAGGTTGATATCTGTCAACGGTGTTGACGGTGTCTCGTGCCATTCATCTGAAATATTGGTGTTTTTAAGACACATGCCAAAAACATGTTGACACCTAGCCTAGTCAGTGCGATATTTATAGTGAAGGAATAAAGATATCCACCCAACTTGTGTTTATTTGTGGTTATAAACTGATTTATGAATAAATATACCACGAAATACAGAATATACACATATATAACATAATTGTGTATAAATAATTGTGCAATAAGCATTTTAAAAGTTAAGCCGCGCCGCCCTTCGTGTGTTCGTCGTTATTTTATTTTTAACAGGTTTTGAATTGTTTAATTTGTAGAGTCCTTTTTATTTTTGTAGGTGATAAATCACTTTACACTAAAATAACATGTTCTCTAGATTAAAATGGCCCTGGATAGAAAGATTTTGAGATTATGCAAAACCCTAAACCTCTGATCTACTCTGACCCCAACGTAACCCTAACTCTAACCCTAACACAATCCGTATTTGAAGCATATGCTAAAACCCTAACGAGAAATTCGACCAACTTCCTTATAGTTATATGATCATGTCACGCGAGATCGGCGATAGCGCAATAAAGGATATAGATTAAAGGTCATTATAATTGGTACGCTAAATTTTTATACTTCATTTGTCATTGTATAAAATTGTATAAAATTTGATTCTTATTCCGCAAAATATTAATTAAAGTGCATATTAGTAGAGGCTCTTACGGGCAAAAAGACGTGTTTTCTGCTACGAGTTTAGAGACCTAACCGCTAATTGGACACAATAGTATGATGTCTAAGGATCGATAATATGTTAAGAAATATAAATTTGGCCTTATTAGTCACGTGCTATACCAATGCGCCTTTTAAACTTTGACAGTCTATTACTCTAAGGCAAATAAAGTAATTATATTCATATTTTGTCAGCAATAAGATCACATTATTTTCTATTTAGTGTGAAAATATGAGCTAGAACGGACATAATCTCGCTGAGTTATAGCTGTTTGACATTTATGATGAACGCGCGGGTGCCAATTGATAACAACTAAATGCTTTTGCGCGTAGTGCGCGTCGAAAATTTGGCAAAAACGCTTGCGGAGTGACAATATTCAAACTTCGATAAAGTATATGAAGTGGGTACTTCTCGGAAAGGAAAAATTTAGGCAAACACGATGTGACTATTTTTGGGTTGATTTAATGCAACTGCAAAAAATTATTCAAACTTCAAGCAAAAAAAGTCAAATTTTTACCACTTTTTTGGATTTTTACCCCCAAAAAAATAGAGGGATTTTTCAAATTTTTATATCATCTTGTGCGGCTGTGTTTTAGCTATCTCCATGCAAGTTTTGCCGACATGCCAACAAAATTAAGTTGTTCAAAATATCAAAAAACATGGTTTTTTGGCCTATTTTTTGTCCAAAAATCGGTTTTTTGCAATTTTACCCCCAAAAAGTCAGTCCAAATATCTTAAAACCACTTTTAATCGATTCTACGGTCAAAAATACGTCTAGTAAGGTGTATCTGGGGTCCCTAGCGTATCGAGCAGACAATGCCCGTAAGAGCCTCTACTATATGTCGTATATATGTCATATTTTAACTTGGTTCGACTGTGATGGGATCCGCTCGCGCTGCATCACTGACAACCAGACAGAAAGCTGCGAAAACCAAAAACGAGAGGCTCTGCATCTTTATGTCGTCATGAGCCTACTGAAAAAGAAGAGGAATAAATACGAATTCATATTTTAAATTTACCTTTTATATTGGGTCAGACATTAACGAGGATTTCAAAGGATTTCAAGGATTTCAAGGATTTCAAAATAAAATGATCATTACAATAAACATTGTGTCGGATCTAAAATTTAAAAATAAAGATAAAATGAAAGGCACTATCCGTCGCGGAGTCGAGTCCGCGGCGGAGCCGCCGGACTCCGAGCGGACTCCGAGCGGACTCCGGCGGAGCCGCCGGACTCCGAGCGGACTCCGGCGGTGCTCCGCCAAAATGTATTTACAGTGGACTCGAGTACATTTTGGCGGACTCCGAGCGGAGCCGAGCGGACTCCGAGCGGACTTTAAAGTCCGCCGCGGACTCCGAGCGGCTCCGCGGCGGCTCGGCGGAGTGTCCGCCGCGGACTAAGCCACTAGGCGGACTCCGGTCCGCCGCGGACTCCGGCGGAGTGCTTGGCGGACTCCGCCGGACCTCTCCGCCAGACTTGAATCCGGCGGAGTCCGGCGGAGCTTGGCGGAGTCCGCCAGCTCGGCGGACTCCGCTCGGAGTCCGCCAAGCACTCCGCCGGAGTCCGCGGCGGACTCCGAGGTAATAATACATATATTATTACCTCGGAGCGGTAATCGGAACCCCTAGGTTCAAGGAGGAATATCATGTCAAAAAGAAAGTAGAGAAATGGGTAAAGGACAGTGGCGTAACGTTGCCTGTTGGCGCCCCCCTGCCGAAAAGGCGCCCCCCTGTTGGCGCCCCCTCTCCTTTTGGTGCCCCTCCCTAAAATTGAACAAATTAGGCGATTTAAGAGGATACGCCGGTAAAATCTCTAAAAAAGTGTGTATCTAGAGCAAAACGCGCAGTTTTGCTAGTACTTTAGTTAAGTTTTCGAAATTGTCCCACATTCAAACGACGATTTGGCGCCCCCCTAAGACGGCGCCCCCCTGCACAGCGGGGTCAGCAGGGCCCTTCGTTACGCCACTGGTAAAGGATATAGAGAAACTTTTTACTTTTGCTGCCGATGAGCCACAGGCAGCGTTAGCTGCATACACTAAAGGAGTAAATTGCAGATGGCAATACCTTCAAAGAACTGTTCCCAACATAGCAGAACTATTCAGACCACTAGAGAGTGTTTTAAGACACAAACTGATACCAGCACTCGTGGGCAGATAAGTATAATGAATAAATTGTGTAGAAATTAATAAATGTGACTGTGAGTGTGACATTGTGACATGTACATTTGCATTTGCAATTTGGGTACGTGGGCCGGCTCGATCCACGTGCGCGGCGCCCCCGCGCCCATTATGCTTACATCTCCAATTTCAATTGCAGTGTGGTGCTTGCGTGGCGCGGCGGGTCGGGTACTCATGTACTTGATTATTGAGAGTACCCCATCTTATGAACGATAGATGAACTAACAATATATTTTGAAGTTTTTTTTTGAAGTATATTATATGTATTGATTATTCTGTGGCAAATAAAATTCTCTTTTTCTTAAATTCTCTTTTTCTTAATTCTTGTTCATTGAAATATTACCGCCAGCGAGAAGCCGCAGCTGCGACTGCAAGCCGTGTTACCCACTTCCCTGTACTGTATTGTGATCAGCATGAGTTTAATCAAAGTAATGTGTATCACTCGCTTCACTCGATCCGAAATTAAAGTATATAATCCTACAACGCTAAGCTAGTAATAAAGTTTTATGAAAGCACTCTGGCCAAGTCAGTGGATTCTTTTTACCTAATTTTACCTCATCCCATTAAGGAACGCGCGCTGGGTAAGAAGAAACCTAGCCAGAGTGGAAGTCGGCGCCCTCATTAAATTTTTGGAGAAAATCGCTCGCCAAAATTTGTTGGACCAGGACGATGTCCTAGCCTGGCAGCTCATTGCGCGGCGCGTCGCAACGAGTTTCGTTGTTCGTCGACGTGCGACGAGCAACGAGAAAATTTGTGCGGCGCGTCGAGTGGCACATCTTAACGGGGGATACGCGTATAAATTTCGATCGCTGACGTACAGCGAGCAGCACAGCTGCGAATGGCGTCAGCTAGTAGGATTTCATCCTACAAGGCACATCGCGTTTACCTAGCTAACCAGGTCATTTCCGCCTCCGGCGGTCGCGTGCTACTGCAAGCGAGAGGGCTATAGTTAGAGCAACACATCGCGCCACAAGCCAAATATTTATCAACATCTTGACTAGCTACGCGGTCCTTTTCCGCATGCGCTCGCGCTGTGCTCAAAAATTGACGTCGTCAATCAATCAACATCAAGATTTTAGTTTTACATTTGACCTTTATGTCAAAAATTTTTGAATTTTCAATCGGTGGTCGATGTTACCTGAGGACCTCAGGCTTCGTCCTTACTTCGTTACAGGACGATCGGAGCTCGAAGAGCGTAGAGAGTGCTGGCTGGCGTCGTCCTGTGATGGTCGACGTATTTTTGCTTGCTAAAAACGCTTCCCCATATGAGATAATATGACAAAAATTGTTTTGGTCACGTGACCAGTCAATGACATTGATATTTCGCTGCGGACGGTTTGGTGGAGGGTTAGGGTCAACGTTTATACATTATAGGGTCAAAGTTAGGACTAGAGTTGTACACTATTGACATTGTGAGGGTAATGGTTAAGGTTTATCACTAGCGACCTTTTCATCTGACCACAATATTGCAAAATGCTATGTTGTATGTCACGTGACAAATTTAGCCGAGGGTCGGAAGACGGAGGTCGGAAGTCAGTGGACTCTGTTGGAATCCGGCGGACTCCGAGCGGAGTCCGCCGAGCTGGCGGACTCCGCCAAGCTCCGCCGGACTCCACTGGATTCAAGTCTGGCGGAGAGGTCCGGCGGAGTCCGCCAAGCACTCCGCCGGAGTCCGCGGCGGACCGGAGTCCGCCTAGTGGCTTAGTCCGCGGCGGACACTCCACCGAGCCGCCGCGGAGCCGCTCGGAGTCCGCGGCGGACTTTAAAGTCCGCTCGGAGTCCGCTCGGCTCCGCTCGGAGTCCGCCAAAATGTACTCGAGTCCACTGTAAATACATTTTGGCGGAGCACCGCCGGAGTCCGCTCGGAGTCCGGCGGCTCCGCCGGAGTCCGCTCGGAGTCCGCTCGGAGTCCGGCGGCTCCGCCGCGGACTCGACTCCGCGACGGATAGTGCCCTTGACAGTCAAAAACGAAAAAACCGAAACCTGTCCTGAAAAATGCACGGTTGACGGTTATAGTCTAAAGAGTTTAAATACCGAGCTATTCTAATATGGAATGTTCATGACGCGAACAACCAGTCCTTTGGGTCCATGCTTAAGATCCACACATAAATTCCACACTAAATCAAAAGTGTGAAACGCACACGAAAAATAACACACTGTCGGATCCACGTTTCGCATGTTGATTCCATGAGTCATGGTGTTAGTCCTTCCTTTTCTTTTCTGTCACAACGATGTAATTTAAATTTTGAATTATGGGTTTTGGTCAAATTATTACCTATTTAATTCCAGGGTTGTGAAATACGTGTTTTACGTTTTTTTGAATTGGAGCGTTTTTACGTTTTTTTAACAGGTTTTTGCGTATTCATTTAAAAAACGTTGTGATTTATACGGAAATTTACAATGTTTTGACGGTCACCGACTACCAGTAAACAAACCAGCGAAGTACGAACACTGAGGCCTGGGCCACAATCACATAAGCAGATTGCAGTCTTCAGGAACACTGTACATTCCTATTAAAACTGCAAAGTATCGAAACGATCCATCACATATCCTCATTACTCACTTTATTATTGTAGTTAAGCGAACATTCCAGACTCTGCTATATTATACCGTCAGATTATATGTGTAGCAGCTAAGCAAACGTGCGAGACTGAGACGCGCACTTATACATCCAGCAATAACTCATAAATTAAATCCCAGCCGTACATTCACTTCTTGTATAAGTCGCAATGACTACTATGTCGGCTCTCTCACTCTCTGCTCCGTACTTTCACCTTCGATACTGTAATCCTGCCGCTCTCTGTGTTTATTTGGTGCCGTGATATGATTGTGATACGCATTCAATCTTTTCAATTTTGAAGCAGTCCCAGCTTGAAATTTGATATGCTACAGCGCTACACAGAACAATATAGAAATTTCTATAACTTAAATGATAAATTAGTGCATATTAAGATGTTTCATATTTGATATTTCCAGAAAGTATAACCAAAACTCTATTTAACATCTGATGTTGCTCTCTTAGAAGTTAGTACTTTAGTAGGTGGCATGGTCATAATCTCATTTCTTGCTTACTGATAGAAAGATGAAACTGCAGCTGATTCCCACCCCTCTTAGTAATTCGCGTTACATGTACAGCAAATTAGAAAGCAAGAGTATTCAACATTCAACACAACTGGCAAGTTTGATTGGTCATACCGCTACATTTTGAATTTCCACGTGAGTCGGCTTGATTAGATTATGCGAACGTTTTTTTCTCGTTTTTTGAAAAAAATAGAAAAAAGGACGTTTTTAACGATTTTTGAGTTTACCATTTACGTTTTTCACAACCCTGTTTAATTCGCCTTTTTGACACCTGGAGGGTTCCGTACCATTTTACTGACACCACAGCATCAACTTTAACGCGACTTTCCGCAAAAACCGTAAAAGATATACAATTGAAACGTTTTTGACTGGGTCAAATGCTTTAATGGCCTCCAAATCAGCATGAAAAAATAAAAATTGGCCAAGAAATAGGAGTTTTAGACCCCAAAATTTGGACCCCAAGTGGCGTCAAAAACGCGAATTAAATTTTTTTAGTCTCTTGAGTCTTGACACCATTTTAGGGATTATACGGGTTCCTGCTAGTATTAATAAGGGACAAGCACGAGTTACCTCAAATAAGTGCGAATAATTGATAATGCAAATTCATCGTGTAGCACGATTATTTCGAACTGTATCAGTATGTACGTGGGCCTCCTGTGCATTGTAAATGCAAAAGTGTAAAATGGACGAAAAAAATGTTATTTCTTGCTTACGTAAAATGC